GGTTGATTGGGAGGACCAGCGTCCTAAATCTACCCTTCCATGCAATAACTTTCCACCAACTCTTGTAAAGTTCTCCCAAGTTTTTCACGATTGGAATATCTGCAATGAACTCTGCTTCATATTTTACAAATTAATTTACTGGGAATCAGGAGATTGTTTCTCGTTGATATGCCCACTTCTTTTACTAGCTTGTGACAGCAACTCGGGTTTTCAGCTGATACTCTATCAAGCTCTATACCAGCCTTTTGAACAGATTCCTTGACGGAAGTCTCTGGTTTTACTTTTACCTTAACTGGTTTCCCAAGCTATGATTTATCTTCTAATCTTGCTAATTCAAGAGCCTTTTGGCATACTGGAAATCCCAGATCATCCCAGGCCTCCAGGATTACACCAGAAGCTATGCAAGTTCTTCCCCCGTAAAAAACAGTAAACTGCCCCGCTGCTAGACCTTGATCATCTTCACACAAGTGGACAACCGCAACCTCTTCATGGCCATGTACACCAAGTTCTACCTTCACTCTGCAATCATAAAATGCAGGGCCATGTCTGGCCTAAAAAGTTTCAAGAGAGTCGAGCTTCAATATGTCAGCACTTGAGAAAAAAGACACTCTAATAGGTACGGCATGAATGATTCAAATGTTGAATAAATAGGACTACAGGGTTGCCAACTGAATAGAAAGACAAACATTAATGGAGGGAAATGTGCAAGATTGTTTATCAAGAATAAATTATGTAAAACAAAACTCTCTATTCCTTACATTTAAGCTGATTGGTCTCATCAGGAGGAGACCCGCTAAGCCATCTCAAGGAGCCAACACGGAATGTTTTTTGACATCCTTCTCTACAACATACCTGCGAAGTGGGTGAAGAAAACCCAACATAAATAAGCCATGGCTTCGTAATTTGAAAACGAGATACAAAGACTGATAATAAAGCCAAAGAGACATAAACAACTAGCAGGAAAGTTCTCACTTAATTACCATATCCTTCTAGAGTTCTAAAAATACTAAAACAAAATTAATTTTTTTTTTTAAAAAAAAAACGGGATCAGCTTTAATGTCAAAGGAGGTAAGGGAGAAGGGTAGACGACATGTCTTCTAAATTACTTCCGATATTTTAGTTGAAAGACAACCCTATATTACGTAAGCCGCTTCTCTGTTATTCCTCACTTCAGAGACATAAACAAAGAGCAGGAAAGTTCTCACTTAATTACCAGATCCTTCTAGAGTTCTAAAAACACTAAAACAAAATTAATTTTTAAAAAAAAAACAGGTTCAGCTTTAATGTCAAAGGAGGTAAGGGAGAAGGGTAGACGACATGTCTACCATAAGGGTAGACTTTATGTCAAACATGCCTTGCTGTCTGAGGTTTTTCTGTCATGAGATAAGGAGGAAAGGGAGAAGGGTAGACGACATGTCTTCTAAATTACTTCCGATATTTTAGTTGAAAGACAACCCTATATTAATTTTTTCTGCTGGTTTTTAGTTCTTTCCAGGGATTAATTTTTGGGTTTTTTATATGTTTTCATCAAGAAAATTGCAACCAAATCCCATTTATATTTGAATATGTTCATCGGTTTTACAGAATAGAAAGAGTACAAAGATGGTGCAGTATAATTTTAAGAAGATTACGGTGGTCCCTAAAGGGAAGGATTTTATTGATATCATCCTTTCTCGGACTCAAAGGCTTTTTTTTTTGCTGGTTTTTAGTTCTTTCCATGGATTAATTTTTGGGGTTTTTTATATGTTTTTCATCAAGGAAATTGCTACCAAATCCCATTTATATTTGAATATGTGGCATCTGTTTTACAGAATAGAAAGAGTACAAAGATGGTGCAGTATAATTTTAAGAAGATTACGGTGGTCCCTAAAGGGAAGGATTTTATTGATATCATCCTTTCTCGGACTCAAAGGCAAACACCGACTGTTGTCCATAAGGGTTATGCTATTTCTCGGCTCCGGCAGTTTTACATGAGGAAGGTGAAGTATACTCAGTCGAATTTCCATGAGAAGCTTTCGACAATCATTGATGAGTTCCCTCGTCTTGATGGTATTCACCCTTTTTATGGTGACCTCCTTCATGTGCTATACAATAAGGATCATTACAAGCTTGCCCTTGGTCAGATTAATACTGCCAGGAATCTTATTAGCAAGATTGCTAAAGATTATGTCAAGTTGTTGAAGTATGGTGATTCGTTGTATCGGTGCAAGTCTTTGAAGGTTGCTGCGCTTGGTCGAATGTGCACTGTTATTAAGAGGATTGGCCCGAGTTTAGCTTACTTGGAGCAAATCAGACAGCATATGGCAAGGCTACCTTCAATTGATCCAAATACCCGGACAATCTTGATTTGTGGGTATCCTAATGTTGGGAAGAGCTCTTTCATCAACAAGATCACCAGGGCAGATGTGGATGTGCAACCTTATGCATTCACTACCAAGTCATTGTTTGTAGGCCACACAGATTACAAGTATCTGAGGTACCAAGTGATTGATACACCAGGGATTTTGGATCGGCCTTTTGAGGATCGTAACATCATTGAGATGTGCAGCATCACAGCTCTGGCACATCTTCGAGCTGCGGTGTTATTCTTCTTGGATGTCTCTGGGTCATGTGGCTATAGCATTGCTCAACAGGCTGCTTTATTTCATAGCATTAAGTCTTTGTTTATGAACAAGCCGTTGACCATCGTCTGCAACAAGACTGACTTGCAACCACTTGAAGGGATTTCTGAGGAAGACATGAAGTTGGTCATGGAGATGAAATCAGAAGCTATGAAGACACTGGTTGCTCAAGGAGGTGAAGCTACCAATGACGCTGATGTTCTTTTGACCATGAGTACCTTGACTGAGGATGGGGTGATTGCTGTGAAGAATGCTGCTTGCGAGAGATTGTTGAATCAGCGAGTGGAATTGAAGATGAAATCCAAAAAAATAAATGACTGCTTGAATCGGTTCCATGTTGCAATGCCAAAGCCACGTGATCAAAGGGAAAGGCCACCTTGTATACCTCAAGCAGTTTTGGAAGCTAAAGCTAAGGAGGCAGCAGAGAAGGAGAAAAGAAAAACAGAGAAGGATTTGGAAGATGAAAATGGTGGTGCTGGTGTATACTCTGCCAGTTTGAAGAAGAATTACATCTTAGCCAATGATGAATGGAAAGAAGATGTACTCCCAGAAATTCTTGATGGTCACAATGTGTATGACTTCATTGATCCTGATATTTTGCAAAGGCTTGAAGAGTTAGAAAGTGAAGAAGGTATCCGACAGGCAGAAGAGGGAGTTGAAGATTTTGAGATGGATGGTGAGGAATTAACCCCAGAAGAGAAAGAAGCCTTGTCTGAGATCAGGAAAAAGAAAAGCTTGCTCATTCAAGAGCATAGAATGAAGAAAAGCACTGCAGAGAGCCGGCCCACTGTACCTAGAAAATTTGACAAGGACAGGAAGTTTACGACAGAAAGGATGGGGAGGCAGCTGTCAGCTATGGGAGTGGATCCTTCTAAAGCAATTACTCGTCTTCGTGAGAGGTCACTCTCGAGGAAGGGCCGCAAAAGAGAGAGGTCAACTGACAGGGAACATGATGGTGGTGATGCTATGGATGTGGACCAGCCAAATAAGAAGCTGCGTCTGAGATCTACATCTCGCTCTAGGTCGAGGTCACGGCCTCCAGGTGAGGTTGTTCCAGGAGAGGGCTTCAAGGACTCGGTTCAAAAAAACAAGGCCCTTAAGCTTTTCAAGAACTCTGCTAAAAAGAGGAACAAGGATGCTAAACGTGGAGAGGCAGATAGAGTTATTCCCACGCTCAAACCAAAGCATTTGTTTTCTGGGAAACGTTCTATTGGAAAAACTCAAAGGCGTTAAATACTCAAGGTAATATTGCATGTGTTGCTTTGGACAGTTTCCCTGATTGTGTTTTTCATTAATTTAAAGTATGATGTAAATGGAACTTCTAGGTTAGACCTCTTAGTATGATGTAAATTGCAATACAGAACAGAAGTTTTATGAGAGGGAATCAGCCCCCCACAAACAATTGAATCTTTTCCAGTATCAGTCAAAGTATTGTTATGAATCTTTTCCAGTCTTGGTCAAAGTATTGTTATCTTCCCACTTTTCGTTGTGTTTTCCAATTGCATATTCATAAGATGTTGTTCTCATGATCCTGGTAAAAAGAGCACATCTAAAATAATTAATGCTGGTGGTGTGCCTTTTGTTCCTGCAGGGATTGTTGGTTGATTTTTGCTGCTGAGTATACTGAACCATGTGGCGTGCTTCAGTGCTTGCTGTTCAAGGCAATTTTGAGAGAGATTTAATTATACGTTTGCTGCTAGGTTCTGAACCTCACTGGATAATGTATTTTCTTCGATTGCTTTTCTATATTTTGTATAGAGAGGATATTTGAGATTTGTCCGGGTGAGCTCCGTTGCTGCATGTTCTTTTCCATAAGTTTTTTTTTTTTCTAATGTATTTTGGATATCACATATTTTCAATCAATAATCTCGTTCTACCTGTTTCATGTTCTCTGCTCCTCTCTCTGTAAATTTTGCCAGCCTCTTCAATTTCACTGCTTACAGTTACCTTTTGCTCTTGCCCACTGTTCCTATGGAGATATGTTCCTCTTTATGTATTTAATTTTGTAGCAAGTGCCTTTTCATTTCATGTGGGCTTTTACTTGATTAGGATTGGAGTTTACCATTTCGAGTTTGGCCATTTTTTTACCATTTCGAGTTTTTTTTTCTTCATCGTGACGATTAAAGTGCCTCCACATATCACAGTGGGTGCAGGCTTGTTTTGCCAATTTACCCGAGTTGCTTGGTTATGTCATTTCCTTGTGGGATTCGTAACGTTTATTGCCCCAAATTAAACTCCATGGAGTTGAGACAAGATGGATAGAGAAGACAGCGCAGCGCATATCTAATTTAGGATGTTCTTTTGAATCCGGATCAAAGATATATTCAAATTGATGCTCTCAGCAAAGTTCGGTCAATCTTGTGCCCCAGATTCATAAGAAATAAAAGGCACTACCGGGCCAGATGACTTGTTGAGCTGTCTGTTACTTGCGAAAAATGCTCCTGCGCTTGGCTTTCCTGTCAAAATGTAAGTTTGTTATGATCTTAGACCTTTTCTATTAGTGTTTCTTTCTCTTTTTTTAAGCTTGATTTTCAAAGGAACTTCAGCCATAGTTTCTAAACCCGGCCCGGTTCAAGACTCGGGTTCCGGGTTTTGACTGGGTTACCGGGTTTTGACCGGGTCGAACAGGTCGGCCGGGTCAATTTTTATTTTTAAAAAAATCAAAACGACGTCGTTTTAATAGAAAAACAAAAGTTAACGGGTTGCAACTGGGTTTTTGACCGGGTCGTCCGGGTTTTCAGGTCAACCCACCTGATCACACCGAGTCATGATTTATTTTATTTTTTTATCAACCCGGCCCGATTTCAGCTTCAAATCAGCTGGGTCCTTGGTCGACCCGCCAGGCCGGGCCGGGTTTTAAAACTATGCCTTCTGATGTCCCAGCCACCTCTAGTTAATTAGATTTAAACCAGATTTCAGGCAATTTTTCCTATGCAGGGTTATATTCAATTAGAACTTGGTGAAACATCATATACCTTTCCTAGGAAAACATCATATATGATCAATTAGCATCAGTGCCAGAACTGGAGGTGCAGGCAAACACCAAGCTGGGATTATCAATATTTATGAAGGCAGTCCACTACTAAGTTTTGAAACCTCACGAGAGAGCACGTTGCTGCTCTTCACTTCAGCAGCATAAACATGCTTTTGCTAGCATCTCCTTATTTTTAATTAGTTATATGCACCTTAGTTTTCAGCTTCTACATTTGTTTGTAAACTAATTGCAAAGTCACCAACTGATCCTCCTTTCTAATCCAAAAAAATATACAAAAATTAATAAAGTATTGTTTTCGACCAGCATTCTGTCATTGGTATTATTTGACAATGACTCGGCGTTCGATTTTGAAGCACTTTGCAATTTCTACTTGATGCAAAAATGACGGCAGGCACTTATTTATTGGAAGTTATCCCATCTGAGCCTTTCAGAATCATCTCTTATGCACTTTTTATTTTTATTTTTTATATTGGTGATACTGACCCTTTATATATATATATATATATATATATAGACACACACACGCACTGACAGTATTTCTAGTTTTTAGTTTTAAAAATACTACCATTATATATTATTGTTAAGTTGTTATGTGAACTTGGCAATAAGTTGATTCTGGTATTAAAATTAATTATTATTAATTAATTTTTTATTAATGATTCGTGATCTATTAGATTTTTAAGGTTTTGACCTAAATTATGTTATTGTGACCTATTAGATTTTTAAGGTTTTGACCTAAATATAACTCAATTTAATTAAATAATTCTAAATAAAATAGAATTATATAAATTTAAAAATTTAATTTATTATCAATTTAAGAATTAATTGATTTATATTTAAAAATTAAGTGCACCATTTACCATCATGTCATAATCTTATAAATATAAAAAAAATCATGTGGGATTTGATTTAATATTTCAATGATCATTTCATTGTAAGTATTATTTTTTTATTAAAAACATTTTGATTTAAACATTAAAGTATAGAGGTGTCTGCTCTATTAAATTATATTTGTTCTTAACATCATGACCATTAATTTTTTGAATAAAATTTGAAATTCTTTTCAGATTATATTTCACATTGTGGAAGAATTTCTTAATCAATATTATTTAAGATTAGATTGAATAATTTTTCTAAATGGATATCACACCAATACTTTTATATAATTCATATTATATCTAATATTTATTTATTTTTTATTTTTGATGAAGACAATATATAATCAAAATTAAAAAATAATATTTTTTTATCTTTGAGTTAATTAACTTAGTGGTTTCAAATACACACTGATTTATTTATATATAATAACCATACTAGTTATTTTAGTGGACATTTTAGTAGATAAAGATCTACATAGTATAAGTTGTAATTATATTTTATGGAACGATTATTTTATTACACAAATAAAAGAATATATTGTGTATTGGTCACTGCATTTAGGAAGGAAAAATAAATCTTATAATTATTTTGAAGTATTTTTATTATGAAAACTGTATCTTTATAATAAATTGAACCATTCTTGTTAAGCTGTACTGCGGACAATAAATAGATTAGCTATGAAGAAGTTGTAAAGCCTTATTTCCTTTAAATATTTTGTGCTGTCTATTGTTGATGCTGTGAAAGATCAGTATATTGGGATCATGTTCCGTCCTTCCTATTCAAACTGAAAGTGGTCTGAAAGGAAGAAAGAAGAAGAAGCATATTTCTTGTTCATTTAGCATACTACCCTGCCAATATGATCTCTGCTTTTTCCATGGGTTTCTTTTTTGTTGTTTTTAACTCAAATGATCAAATATATATCCTAGTCCTGCTGGGAATCTTCCTCGATTAATTCTCCATCTTAATTTGCTTTTGTGACCTGGAATTAAGACCATCCTCATTGGGCCAGTCTCATTAACTCGAAGGCATTCGCTCGATCATGACGAGAAACCATAACAGGTATAGAGACGAAGCTTTGGAGAACAGTAAAGAGAAAGCATAGAAGACGTTGGGACAATGGAGTGCCGTCCAATATTTCCCTGGGACTTTTCTTACTTCATTATTTATGATCTGGCTTTACTTTAGATATCACAGTGATATATACTGCAACAAAAATAAACTTTAAAAAGATTGTTTTTCCTTCTTTTTTTTTTATGCCCTAATGGATGGATTTTATACACGACCACCTAGCTACTTGTATTTTTGGTTCAGTATGGAGAGAGGCCATTCTGTAAAAGGTATAATTTAGAAATACAGTAATCATGAGATTATTTGAAGTCAATACAATATGATGTGCTTTAACTTCATGGATCAAAATGGTGAGGTCACCATATATTATGGATCTTCAACCTACACCCCCACAAATCATAAGTTTCCACACATGAAAGTTCAACAAGTACTTAATGTGATTGTAGAATCCCTATCATCTTCCCCACTTAATTGATGTTTGGCCCTCACAGGTACTTCTTTTTTAACCTTTTCTGGACTGACTTTACAACTTTATGACCTTCCTTTAACCTTTTTGGAATCTGGGAGTGATTGGTAAAACAATGAAAAAGAAAAATCAGGCACGGGATTGAGGATGAACAAAGTACAGGATCATGTATGAATGGCACCTGTCATCACATTATTCAGTTTTCTCAACTCCAATCCTTGCTCATTTGAGCCTTTGGGGTCTACTTGTACGTGTTATATTTGTTGGTTAACGTCTGGGTTTGGACAATCTCTTGTGGTGTCCACCAATAATGCTTAACATCTATCTGGCCTTTATGCCTTGCCAATCCAGTGTTGAGAACTGTTGAATTTTTCCCATTATACCTTGAACTATTATGCACAGGTATTTGTATAGAAAAAGAGAAATGATTTGCTGTGATATTGAAATCATCACAGCTGCGTTCTAGAATACCAATTCTGGACTATATATGGGGTGAGTTTGGCAGATGGGAGGTGATTCAAGCATATATAATTTCCTCGCATTCTAGAAGATGATTCTCTTAAGCCCGGAATGCAAGTAGAGAAACCTACCCCATTTTGCTGTCGACTGCCCTCGGTATTACTACCATAACTCTGAATTCCCAGCCTAGTATAGGTTTAAATGTCATGTCTGCTTGTGTTAAATTCTTAGATGAAAGCAGACGTACTTCTCTCTTTGTTGGTTGGCGATAAAACAGAAGCAAAGTGATTTTGTTTAGTCTAATTAGAAAAAGGTCAGGAAAAAAGTCAATTGTTTGTTTCACCATTTCTTTCATCTTTATTTCACATCATTAATTAATTCATCTCTCGCACGTACTGTAATTGAATATGTCAATGGAAAACTAAAATTAGTTCAAGGAAAAGAACCGCGCTTGCTTATATCACAAGGAATTAAAGGGATTAGAGAACTCCACACATAGAATTCAGGCAACATCTCAAGAGCTGTAGCTCAGTACTAGTACAGCCTTGGTGTGGATACATGGTTGATCTCTAATGGAGAACTACTTAATTTCCCCTTCTTTTAACATGATTTACTAAATTTTTAGTTGCTGATAAAAATATTAATTTTGGAAAACTGGATAGTTAAGGAAACTGGTTTGATTTTCTCTAGCTACAAGACACAGGACTAGGCTACACAGCAGAAAGGAAAGTCCTAAATCACAGGTCAGGGTAGGTAGCTAACCACTTTCACAGTGTTTTCCAGATGGAAAAAATGCTCTGCGGTTTTCATATGCAATTCTAGAAATGACATCAAAAAACTGTTAAATAACAAGATATTAAAAGAGGGTGATTGAAAATGTCATCTCTCTTCTTTCCTCAACTTAATTTCTCACATGAAAATAATGAAAGATTTGTATTTGGAAGGATGGAGTCTTTTCTACTCTTGGATGCTTTTATTATGAATTGAGGCCTCAACTTGTGCATCCATTGCCAAATTATGAATCACCAATTATGTGGTCCATTGAACATTTTCCATGTGTTTTTGGAGAATTATATATTCTCTATTATCTAATTCACTATCTTCAATTACACGTGTGGATGCTGGACATGGAGAGAGAGGTTGGAAGATTATGTGAAGTGGAAGCAAATATCTTGGCTTAGTTATGAAACAAACTCCTTTTTTTTTTTTTTTTTGCCCTTCCGTGGGTGTTCTGACTAGCTAGCTTCAGCTGCCTCTCTATGGCACAATGTATGATGATTACCTTAGAGTGAAGAAAAATGAAATGGAAAAGGACAAGATCATGGAGTCAAAGACAAGACGACCACCCATCTCTCTCATTTTCTAGCCGTCCCTCTCCAAACCGTTTTACTGCTCAGACTCATCAACCAACTCCCCTCTCTCTCTTTCTTTCCTATATTCTAAGCAATACCCCACAACCATCATCAAAATCATGATCATCATGCCCACTCTACCAAGCCTCCTCTTTCTCTTTCTTATAATCTGCCACTCTATAAAGTCTTAACTAATCGACATCAAACCAGTTGGGAAGAGATATAGATCACCTTTCTAGTGACAGGATCCAAAGGCTCTCAAAATGAGGAAGCCAGAGGCCTCTGGGAAGAACAACGTTAACAATAGTAACAAGTTCAGAAAGGGCTTGTGGTCACCAGAGGAAGATGACAAGCTCATGAACTACATGCTAAACAATGGACAAGGTTGCTGGAGTGATGTGGCAAGGAATGCTGGTTTGCAGCGATGCGGCAAGAGCTGCCGACTTCGTTGGATTAATTACTTGAGGCCTGATCTCAAGAGAGGTGCATTCTCACCCCAAGAAGAAGAGATGATCATCCATTTGCATTCCCTTCTTGGCAATAGGTGTGTTCTTACTATCCCTTGCTAACTCTATTCACTTGCTGATCGACCTTTGCCCTTAATTTCTCATCTGTTAACTATTGTTAATTATTAGCATACTGCTTTTTTGAATTCAGCAACAAGGGTTCAAAGAATATCTTAACTTGATTTTAGTGGGTGGGTGTACAAAGGAGAGTTTTCAAGCTCAGTACTTTCTACAGTACTGATGAGGGGATATTGGAGTTTTTTCAAGCTGTTGCTAATACATGAACAGAGATGAAAAAAATAATTTGATAAACAGCTGTTACTAATGCCATATGACACGCCTAAGAAAAGAAAAATATATATTGTATACCATCAATAATATATACGAGGCAAGGAGGCTGATGAGCAAGATTATATTCTTTTGTCTAGGAGAACAAAGGCAAGTCCTTTCAGATATAGTATAAAATTATTTTCGAGATATCGAGTCTAAATATTTTTTAACGGTTTGAATATTTTTATATACCTTGTCTTAGCAACCTTTAATTAATACTTAATAGATAAAAATATAGTAGA